GTCTGGCTAGCTTAATCGAGCGATTCCGTTCGCGCGTTCACCAGTTGCTCGCCTCTTTGCCGATATCCCTGCCACGAAAGCGATTAATTCCACGTCTGTCGAGATAATTCCGCTGTGCTTTGTGCGAACATCTCGGTCGCGATGAACGAGGATACGCATTGTTTCGCCTTTGAGAGTAGGTACCTAAGTCGAGGTAGCAGCGGTTGACGGGTCAAAATTGGACAGGATAAGTAGTTAAAGTAATTAAAGGATCTCGACATCCGGATCAACGGTAATCAAAGGTCATCAACCCCAAAAGTAACTTAAATGCACCTTCGACCCACCTCCGTTCCGCTTTCTCAGCGCACCGAATCGCTCGAGCGAACCAAGCTCCGCAACAGCCAATCAATTGTATTCCTTAAGTAAATATCAACCGTTGAATCCTACTCGGATCACGATAGCAAGAGAGAAAGCACGAAGAACGATCGAGAGCGCAGGGTAGCTCGAGGTTATCCCGGTCACGCGTTAGTCAGGCCGAGCCAGCCGGTCTGTCAGTCAGCCGGGTCAGAAACAGCCTCGGAGAGTGGCAGTCGGTGACACGTTCGGTACACAGGCTGTGCACGGTGCGAATACACACACGGTTGCTTCGAGAAACGGGCCATTCTATTAAGAGCCAGCCACGAAAACGCTAGACGACACGAGGTGACACCGAGATGCCTGACACGACACGGGCCTGCGCTTAGCGCACTCTTTCATTCTACAACGCTCGCCCTCGGTGTCTTAACAGCACCGACAGCTATGCGACTCGCTGACCCTGTCGTTTCTCTTTCCTCCACCTCCTTTCTGCCTCCGTGCCAGGGATGTCAAACATTTTTTACACGACCACGATCCCCTGCTAGCCGACGGAAAATAAAGCCTCGATATGCCGCATGGGAAATTATTATTAGGCACCGGATTTCTTTCCAGAACCTCCTGTCATCATCTTTGCTTCAGTGAATTCCTTGGCATCCTCGGTTCAGGATTACAGAGATTTGTAATGGTGGTTTTTAAGAATGGCGATAAAATTTGGTAGATACGTATTAGAGGAGGCAATTTCAGATAATATTAATGTATGAATTATCATTTCGTGAACGTATCGATGTCGTTTCCTCCCCTTCTCTTTTCTTTATGGTAAACTATCTGGACACCTAACGAAACATAAGAGGAACGTTTGCAGCTGTTATTACTCGTAAGAAACCCACCGTTGACGGTTCGTATATTTTGTTGCAAGAATGATACCATCTTCTCCTTTCAATTGCCTTGAGAAATGTAGACTCGTTATATGTTAAACTTGATCAAATACCAGTTGCAATTCCGAAGGATTCTAAAGTCTCGACCAAAACACTTTAACGCAACCTCCTGAATGGAAGTAATTGCAGGAAAAAACGAATTACACGTTGTTGCAGTTGATTTTATTGCATTTTAATCGTAAGATCTTGCTCGACTGTTAATAACACAGTGGCTCGGAGCAGACGGTTAATAAAACGTTGTTTCACCGGCCAGCTTTTCTCTAATTACCGTAATACTTCCCTTTTTCACTCTGGAAAAAAGTAAAATAAGGGAACGCGTGCTGCTAATTGCTGAACGTACAGAACGTTTGATTATCCTGATTGTCCTCGAGTCGATTAGTTGTCACATGTTTCCTTCGCACCTGTTCAATTATCGTTGCCATTCCAACGGGCTACTTAATCTTCTCGGTTATTTCTGAGGAAAACTTACTCTCGAGTGTTTTTGGTTCTTCGACTCGTCTCGACGATGTTCGTGGAATAAAATGTTTTACGTGTCGACGTGATGGAGACGCGATAGAAGGAGGAAAGGGGTGGTATCTATTTTAAACGAGCAAGAGTTTCGAAACAACAGGAACTTGAAATTTGCGTGAGTTAAAATTTGTAATTTAGAAAACTGATTGGCGATCGGGGGGACCATCTGCCTCAGGATCAACACTCCCCTGTGGCAGCGATGCGGCAGAAAAAGGAGAACGACATCCGTTTTCCGCGTTCCAAAAGGAAGAACGCCGATCGCGAGGCCGAAACAACGAAACTCGCCTCGACTTTCACTGGGCACAGCATTCTTGCCGTGCAACCCGGTGGTGCATCGACGTTGACAAGACACGGACAGCGATTAATCATCGCGTCAGCCAGGAAAGAAAGAAAGTTTCGGCTGTGGACCCCGTGTATTCGAGTCACGAGTGGCCGCCAGTTCGACCGCGTATCTTTATCACCGGCCTGATAATGGATCATTATCCGAGCCGTCCTTTTGTTCGCGGGCTGGAACAAACCGGGTCGAAAATGCGAATCCATGAACGCATTCACGGATTATTCAAAAGGTAGCCCTCGCACACCGGCACCGTTGCGTTCGCCGGACCGGGTTTTGTTGTTGCGAATCCTTGCTCGTCGCATTCTTTCAACGTTGCTCCGATGCGACGTCGACGAAACACCGCGAATACTCATTAATCATCGGTTGGAGGATTTAGAAAAAGCATTTGCGTCCTTTTCGATGACAGTCCGTATATAGCGGCCGCATGGTCTTCTACTAATAGTTTGATCCATGTTCACGACGCTCGACTACGATGGAGTGCGATTCCTTTTTCGATTGACACTCCATTTGTGAATCTTTTGGGTAGGTACTTGGTTGTTTTGATCAGACGAAATATTGCAAGAGGTTTCAAAATATCAAAATTCTTCCAATCTTCAAAGAACTTTTGTGGACAGTAGAGAGATCCTTTTTAAAATCCTTGTTAGTTTAACGGCGCACGGTGAAATTAATAAATCAAACGTCTAGGAGGTACAATTGTAACACGACATTTGTAACGTTGCCAATTTCATTTTTAACACGTTCCAAACAGTGCAAGGTTTGAGATTAACGATGAAAGCTTGAAAACATATCCAGAAATTATCTGTTAAATTTATTATGCTTCAGTTTATCTTTTCCTCGTTCGTTCGAAGTCCTCGTCTGTTTCAATGATCGCGAATGATCGCGTCATCTGACAGTTTCTTCGTAAATTCGCTGACGAAATATAATACTTTGTGCAACAAAATTGGTAAGAAATCTGAGAAAGAAAGGATCGAGACGTCCATCGTCACGAAGGAGGCAGCTCGATCCAGGATTGTTCCCGTGCCGTGGCATAGGTTGTATCGACGTCAGCGGGACACGGATAGCAATTAATCACCGGAAAGGATCCACAAAGAGGATACGGGAGGACGATCGAGCACGCTCGATCCCTTGGGCAACGTTCGGTACGCGTGCCGGCTTAGTTCGCGCGTTCGACTGTCGTATAATAATGAGCCAGCCAGAAAAAGGAATTCCGTTCGGCCGTTACAAAACGGCTAGGTGTGCTGGATAAACGATATGCGGGCCTGGACCAGCCAGACAGCCGGGCCACTATTTATTAAAAAGTCAGACCAACGACGTGCTACATCGGGAGGAAAGTGATAACGCGTACCTCCAACTGTCTGGTCATTAAGCTTCGCTTGGACACCTCGAAAGCTCCAACTTTTGCTCTCTGAACCTGACATTTTTCTTCGTACTTGATCATTTTTAACCCTTTCCTTCTGACCTCTTTGATGCTAAAAGTGCGAAAGAACCTTTTTTTTTTAAATTAAATTCTTCGCACACATGACTGTTGCACTCGCAATGCTGTCCCTGAGCGATTCACACTCGACTCTCCCTCTTCAAGTGCTATTAATAGCACCTTCATTATTGCTGTAAATGAGCCGGACTCTTTAATATCCGCATTGACATGGATCTATGATCACGCCGAAGTCCCGACCCCTGGCTCACCTCGCACCTGCTCGATTAATCGATCGAAAACGTTCGATACCCCACGTTCGACTTCTTACCCGCAAAGGAAGAAGAAAAGAATTACTATCTGCCTGGATATCTTGACAACTTGTAAGCAAAATTCTTATCTTATCAATTACAATTTTGCTCATGATCTGTCTGTAATTAATGTTACATGGTCGAAGTGTCAGGTAGCAATTTTTGAATTATCATCGTTGCAGTGGAAATACACGCAGGTTGAATGATGGCAATTTGTTAAGTTAATAATATCAGGTTGTAAAATTGATCCGCGGTTTGGGAATAAAACGAAAGTGTATACCGCAGTGGTAATTGGAATATTAAGGCGTTACGAGTAAATCAGAGTGTTTTAGTATAAAGTAGCTATCGCACAGCTGGAAATGCATAAGTAACAGGTTATTGGTATTTAAAGGCGGCCTCGAGATTTCTCTCGATGCTCGTTGGCCGACGCTATTCATTTACCAGATAGTCACGGCTTTTGCAACGCGGAGGAGATAGGTGTAACAGGCGGAGTATCGTAATAACAGCGTTGCAAAATTATTTATGGCTCGAGCGTGCTGAGCAAATAGGTAAAACAGCTGCCAACTGAACAGTTTCGCGATCCAGTAGCAACGGCCGATGCATTTAACCACACGGACTCGTTGAAATAATTAACGAACTCGTGAAGCGTTACACGCTGAGCCCCTGCTATTATGGACCGTATGCCTTTGATCGCCCTCGCTCCCTTTAACTACCCTCCTTTCCTACCGTATCTCCGATACCGTCCGCCATGTTCAACGGTTCATACTCTTGCCCATTTTTTTCTAGCCCCTTGTTGATCGTTCCTATGCGCGTCCAATCAATTTGCTAATAGATCCAATCGGTTCGTATCCACTTCGAAGGAAACTTAATTCGATGTACTTCCGGTTGCGTGTTGGTCGATTTGGAGTTTTAAAGGGACGCAGATTCTAACTCGAGTCTTTTAGGAAACCTGCCGAGAAACGTGGAATTATACATAGGTGTGCCTGCGTAAAAGGTGACTAAACTGTTGAAACCGAGCTATGCTTTGGTTATTGCCGACCCACTCGCGGTCGTTCCGCTTCTGAACGCAGGAAACATACTCATAGCCAATGGAATTGCTTGCAATTTACTTTTACATCCATACTGCGTATTTCATTTAATTAATAGAGAACTTTTCTTTGCAGGCACGGTGAACGCGAATGGCGAAACGAAACGACAGAGGACGTCGTATACCAGGTACCAAACACTGGAGTTGGAAAAGGAGTTTCATTTCAATCGCTACCTGACGAGGCGGCGTCGGATCGAGATCGCCCATGCCCTCTGTCTGACGGAACGTCAGATAAAGATCTGGTTCCAGAATCGGCGGATGAAGTGGAAAAAGGAGCACAAGATGGCGAGCATGAACATTGTACCGTACCACATGTCGCCGTACGGACACCCTTACCAGTTCGCGCCCCACCCAGGCCAGTTCGCTCACTTGGCCACATAGGACGAGTTCTCGCCCGCCGAGCTCGGAGCACACGCTGTCCGGTTCCCCGGGATGTACGGCGAGCAGAACTTCTAAAAGGCTTTTTTTCCGTTTTCAGCCTGGCCGCGTCACCGGCTCGTCCCGCGTGACCCGCCGCGCCGGGCTGGGACACACTTCACTTCCAGTAGGACACGTGGTGAGACCCAACGAGGTCTGACACAGGCCACCGATGCCTAGACGGATTGTCACTCGTCAAGCAGAATTTCTTCTTCCCTTCTCTTCCTTTTCTTCTTATTCTCAGACAGGGAAATATGTTGTTCAGAGCTTTTTGTCGTAGGGCTTCACACAGCAAGTATGATGTTAGGGTTAACCCTCGCGTCAATAACTAACTACTCATTTTCACATTGACGTCATAGCACTTGTTTACGAAGGTTTTATATCAGATAGAAACGACGACCCACAAGCCTGTCAGCATCGGCCTGTGTACACAAATATACTCCGTCACATAGGACTATTCGAAGTTGAAGAGAAGCCAAAAAATTTTCTGCAAAATACGCCGTGCGCCCGATCAAATGGACTGGACGCGCTCCGAGAGGCTCTCGTCGCGACTAGATTGCAAGAGTATTGGATATTTGAACGCGGACGAGAGGCTACCTCAGCGGGTGAGATGAAACCGAATCAGTAGTTTAAGGCGTAGAAATTAGCGGTCTAAATAATTAATTAATTGAGCGACTAATTAATTAATTATCATGTCTGGCTGCGCACCGTACCGCATCTCTGAATTACCTTTGTCCACCTCTCCTGTACCCACTTCCTAAGCATCTGATTCCTGCCCACACGCCGTTTCCCTATGTCCCGAAAACGAAAGAAAGCAGACGAGATGCGCTGATGTACTTACTTCTCGTTTCTTCTTCCACTTCCTCTTTCTCTTTCTCTTCTTTCGCTCGTTCGATCTATCTGTCCGTGCGCGTTCGCCAGGGAGAGACGGTGGAACTCGCGAGCAATCCGCTCTCTCCCCGACGAAGCGCAGTTTCTATGTGCACGTTAAAGTCTCTACTTCATAGTACGTAAGGTGCCTATTAATACTCGAGTCTCTATTCTCTGCCGTTTTTCGATAGAGGCTGCTGAATCTATTAAACGTCCGTTCGAACGACGCTCCTTGAAAATCGAACCGACGAGACGCATAATACTCTTTAGCAAATAAGGTGAAAAAGGTAGTGGCGACGACTGTGAATTCGAATCGTCGCGCAATTTTGAAGCTCGTTTGCTACTCCGTGGACGCGTTAAGTCAAATTGACCGGGAAAGTATCGCTTTGTAAACTCTCGTGAATTTTACGTCGCGTTTAACTTTAGTCAATGTTCATTAATTCTAAGATTTCCATTTCGATCCAAATTGGGCTCAAACTGAAGAATGCATAGCTTATTTTGCTTATGAAACGTGAACGTTTAGCCAGGTCCCAATCCTCCATGGAAGAAACGCGTTTGCGGCTGCGCATGCGCCCTCTCACCTCTTTGCGCATTTGCAACTGCGCATCTTAACGCAGTACCACGCGCAACACGAGCGAATTGAACGATCTCTGCGCGTCGATATACTGTACCAACGAGAAATAAAAGATAAACGAGCAGTTGTTTCGAGGAGGAGGAGGAAGAGGAGGAATAGAAGACCTCTCAGCGACCTAATCGAACGAAACGGCAGGTGTGTAAATGAATTTTAGATAGTGTGTTCGCGGACGAGTCGCGTGCACGCGCGCGCGCGCGTTAATTGGTCTATCTTGTGATACGTAAGAGAATAATAAAAAAAAATGAAAGCTAGCGGTCGCTCTATGCTTAGTAAGATTGTCGTGAATTACGCGTATACGCGAGGCAAATTCGGAAGAATACAGGGATCTAAAGTATATTAACGATATTCAGAGTGAGAGAGCGAGAACAAAAGGTCACTAAAATGTATAAGGTGCAAACGAACAAGGAAAGGAAAGAGAGATGTAAGAATAGGCTAATGTTGAATTGTACATAACTATTGAATATATTGCAACACGATATTGAACGACGTTATTATCGTACGAGGCGTTAACGAACGAGTCGATTCCTCGAATTCTTTTTTGCAGTCGATAAGAAAAAGAAAAAGGTATCCAAGCTTCGCGGAAAATGGTTACTTGTGATATCTGACATAAGACGCAATGAAACGAATCTCTACGTTATTGTATCTTTCGTTATCGCCTGGTACCTTATAGGGATATTTAAATAAACGAATAGTGAGGTTTATTATTATTATTAATATTATTACGATGATTATTGAAATTATTGATATTATCGCTATTATTCTATTGAGAGTGAGCCTGTTGCTAATGACTTGGTCCAGTGTTAATATTGTATTTTATTTGTTTCGTTATTATTATTATTTTTTTTTTTTTTGTTGTTCACGCCGCGTGTCGTACAAACACGTTCCGTACCTATGAATGCAGAGTTCGGTTTTTCGCGCTCTTTAAGGAGAAATAATCCGTGATGGAAGGAAAGTCGCGATACGCGTGTCCTTTCTCAATCTTTCAGATATTCACGGACAGACTTCTTGTCTCGTTCATTATTAATTTTTTTTTTTTCGTATCAAATGCATCGTTCGTCCGTACACACATGTAGTTATCGAAAAAAATCGAGGATGATGGAAACGAGGTTTAAAACGTAAACGAAGCCTATTTACTCGTCAGGTGCGAAGGATGCGTTCTCAACTTTTAAATTAAGCTCAAGTATTACGTTCGTGTAGCGTCAACTGAAATGTTACTTCATTCCATGTAATATACGTAATAGTCTAACTAAAATACCTACTTATTACATCTACGTAACCTAGAGCACCGTACGTGTAAGGTCGTATAATTATATAATTTAAATTGTAATTATTAAATGGTATGACGTACAGAAACACGTGGCTGTCATTCCCTCGCGAATCGTACCTTGAATTTCACATAATATACCATATCATTCCAGAATCAGCGAACGAGTTGCCGTCGAGCAGAATATCATCGAACAAGAAAAAACTTTCGCTTCAAGTGCAATAAATGTTGCGCATTACAAGATACGACGAGCAGCTCATCGAACGATAAGGGTTTATGAATTGCTCGTTAATCGGTGGAACAACAGGAGCCAACGATCAGCGGGTAACGCATAAAAATCGTGTTAATTATGGCCAACTCGTAAAACGATAATTGTTATGTTTACAATGGCACCGATAGCGAGCTATGTAGTTGCTGAAATTCCAAGCCGCGATAACATTCGAGTCGAAAGATCGAACGATGCCCAGCCGGAGGTTATCTGGTCGCACGCCAGGGTCGTTTTCTTTGCCTGTAATAAGTTCGATTCGTTCGCTTTTTAATTGGCCACGTTCCACGTATGCCGATCTCGCTGTCCAACCAACGAAAATCGCAAATTATCCGCAATTATCGATAAGCAGAATGGCCGATTCGCCAAGCAAGAAAATAATATATCTTCATTGAAAGATAAGGCCACGAGCAATGATTGCATCCCTTAAGAGGAGAGTTAACAGGAGATTTCTTTGATTACCAGCTACTTCATCTGCAGGTATCTTTAATCATCCAATTGTGCGTGGTGTTTGAGATATTTATTGAGGACGAGTTATTTTTTAGACTTATAAATTAAAATTTGCATTCAAGCTTTCTGTCGATCCGGTGGTCATCAAGTGGTATTCTCTTTCGAATGTACATACTTACCTGATTATAATTAAAAGAAAATCGACGTCGATCGAAAGTGGAAGACTGCGATCAGAAAGATCCGTGAGTAACAGAGTCGAAGATCCGCCTTGAGAGGGACGATAAGATCGCGTGACAACAGCGGGAGGTCGCGCGTGATAAAGAGGCCTCACACCCTCGAAAACTACCGAAACGGACAGGAGTCGTGTAACAAGGAGACGAGAGAAGACAAGAGGATCGAACGCAAGTCATGATTCGTGCGAGCAAGTTATGTGTACTCTCCTCGTGTGTTAAGGTACGAGCATGCTACCGACGATGACGGCGCTGATTCGATCACGATCAACATCGGCTTGGTTCCTCTTCAACGACCATGACTTTCCTTGTAGATCGTCATGATAGACCTCACGGAACCAAGGATGAAGCAACTACGGCGCCGTCGAATTATCGATTCTTTCCGTTTCGCTGGATTCACTGCTGGTGAATCGGTGATTGCTAGTCGTACGACGAACTCGTTGGTAAGCTTTCTAAATTCGAATATTCTTGAATCGGATTTATCGATTGAGGGAAAATTAAAAACTACAGGGTGTCATTTTTAAATTACCGTTTTTATTTTTTAATTATTCAACGAATTCTTAACAGTTTCTCAAAGTCTTTTCACGGTTTTATCAATTGTATCGAGTAAACATTGTACGTTCCTCGTGACATGGTCCCTCCACGTGCGACGTATCCGCTTCATTCCTGAGGAACGCGCTGTATCGAATACTCGTCTCTCGACGTCGAGAGCTCTCCCGTCGTGTCCCCTCCTCTGAACTCGGCACCGTGATCCTGAACCTTGACTCTTCATTAATCACCACGCGGTATCAATGACTGACTGAGTGACTGACGCCAACCGAGAGGTATTATATACCTACGGGATAAGCGCGAAACGCTCTTCACGCTTTCCACCACCAGTTTTCCAACGATTCCCGACGAACGGATCGAGAGGAAAATCATTGCTAGCTGATCGAATAAAAATTCTTCTTCTTACGGGGATATAAACAGACGTGTCTCCTTTTTGCGTTCACGCTGTTGGATCTCTTGATGCGGAGTTTTTGTTCAAATCTGAACGAAGGAGGTTCAGGAAGGATCCATTAAATGAGGGATCGAGATGGATTTAAGGTTTGTCCTCAGAGGAGGTCGATCGGTGATGTTTCAATTAATCGTTTGATCTTTCTATTGAACATCATGTATCGAAAGGGTTAAATATTTTTGTGCAATCTTCTGTATAACTGTCGGAGAACCACTGCGACTGCTATTCAATTCACACAACCCTACCAGCTTCCAGAATCAATTTTCTCACAACACAAGCATAGACTCTACGGAAACTGTGCCTTCCACGTTCAAAATTCCCAACCAGTTCTCTAAACCCGAATTCACCATAACCCTCTAAACATCTTCTCGTATTAGAAGATGCCAGCAAAACACCAGAGAGGACAGTTCAAATAATAGTCGAAGAAAATTCACACTCTAATTCCTGTGTGTTCTCATAACTTCATAGACAAGAAAAACAAGGCTGGTTCCTCGAAGAACGGACGGTCGCGCGTGGAAAGGCATTAACAGGCAGTCGCTAAGAGGTTGGAATGGTCCGCGTTTGGAAAAGTTCTATAACTCGATCGTCGGTGTCAGTTTTTCCGCGGCGAGTCAGAAAGGGCACCGCGCGATGGAAGCTACCGTCCGCGGTCCTTTCTCCTTCCATCAGTGGTCGATCGAGTGAGTGACAGGCGACGCAGGAACCAGAAGAGACTTGGAAGCTGCCCGTCCGTCCGTCCGTCTGTCCGTTCGTCCACGTCGCGTTTGTTCGTTCCGTTTGTCCATGACCGTCGTGGATATCTCGTGGTCATGGCTGGCCGTCCTGTCCACAAACGGAGCGGAGCAAGACTTCACCACTTTTATGTACGGAGTCTGAATAACAAATCTGTCCAATTCACATGTCGACATCAAAGAAGATAATATAAACACTACATCGATACATCGTCTACAAAACCTTAATGTTTTATTAATGCCGACTCCGTCCTCGTCCCATTCCGCCGGAGTCCATTCCATTCCATCCGTGGGTATAGGCAAGCCGAACGGTCGGCGACGAACGGACGGGACGGACGAACACCCGGCATTCGTGGCCACGAAACTGCTCGACCCATGGTGTATCACGCTATGGGAACACCCGATACGACGGACCCTATCGTTTTGCGCGTTTTGCCCAACGGCCACCTTTTGATCCGGCTGTCCGGCCATAACGTCGAGATCCTTGTCTTGACGCCCCGCGATCGCTGTCTCTCGATCGTACGCTTCCGTCGGTGAAAAAATCGGTAAGGTGAAAACGAGCTTTCACGCATGCAGCCTTGAAACTGAATGTCTGATATCGAATCGAATCGTGTGCGGAGGTTCGACTTCACTTTGCTGTTTGGATTCATATATGCAAGGTGACCCGAGCTTCTCTCAGCTATCTTCTACTATTATGTTCAACCAGTAGAAATGATCAAGTGGCATCGTATAAAAATAAACTGGTGAGTGCTTTATTACGAAGTTACATGGAAAATATGAAACGATAAGAGAATTGTTTTCACATTAGCGCTGCAATAGTGTGAGAATCGGTCGATATCTACGTAACTTTGCAACGATGTTGATAGAAATTAATCTGTTATCATTACTGACACAGTAGAGCGAGAAAAGCTTGAAACATACCATCAGTATTTGTGCACACAGAGAAAGTTGATTTTGTAAAACAAACAAGAAAGTAAGAAATAATTTGATTCACCGCCTAACAGTAAAACCACCTTCAGGACGAGTGTTCAAGAATGAACGAAGCTACACAAGCCTCGTCGAGTGTGATTCAATTTGCCAGGCACGTTTTCCGAACTCATCGATGGCATTGCACTGCATTACCATATTTGCGATCGATGTTGTTCGCGCGACTTCAATTTGTATGTAAATCCTGGCCGGATCCGAGGCGTTTGACCGAGTTACCCAATTTGCCAGCGATCCGCGATAGTGATCGGTACACGCGACGCCGGTGGCCCACCGGTTGAATTTATTTGAAAATTTTAATATCATTCCAGACCGATACGAACCGCGTGTCGTAACCGAGACACTTCACTTCCGTCGAACAGCACGTACGTTTGTTTCTTTTAAAGATACCGGTGTCTGGTTTCCATTTTTCTTTAACCGCTGATAAAAGGAGGCGAATCAGAATGAGAAACTTTTTCAAATAACACTGAACTCAGGCTCGCATCTTGCGCGCAGAGCCTGTCGATTCCGCTTCTGGAAATCGAGGAGATCGAGCGGGAACGTTACGCACGAAATGCATAAGCGCAGCCCCGTGTAATTGTATGCAGGAATGCAGGCAAGGTAGCGAAGACAGGGTGTACGTTGGGCTCTGTTCTGTGGGGAGGTTTGAAATCGAACGAGCGAAGACGAGCTGAACGGTGAGCATCGAGACTTGGGGGACGAAGGGGAACAGGAAAGACAGAGAGGTAGTGGAAGAATAAAAAGAAAAGAGAAACGTCGAGGTAGATAGAGAGGAGGCTCTGATCCGCAGCTGATGCGAACGAAGGCCGGGAAGAGAGGTCTGAGAGCTGAGTGACAGCCTCGCCACGTACGTGGGAGGCGAGCCCGCAACAAAGGAAAGACGATAGCCTTATGCAAATAGTTGCGATATCGCGAGCACTCCCCGCGAGACGCGCGGACCCGCTTCGCTGACGGCTCGCAGACACACGAGAGAAACCTTCCCCGTCTGTCTACTCTTCCTCGAGACTCGAGAGTAACGGAGGAAAAATTCTGACATCATCGGGAAAAACCATGGTGCCTGACCGTCGTGCAATTCCTCAGAGGAACAGGCGTATGCTCGGACAAGCATCGTCCCCTGAAGGTACGTCTGCGTTCGACAAGAGGTGTGTCCACTTTGACGTTTCCAGGAACTTGAACAGCGAGTTCCTGTAGGTTTGACATTTTAAATATTTTATTTAGCGGATTGTTAAAAAAAAAAAAAGAAGTTTCTTCGGCAAATATTTAAAACCACTAAAGATCAGAATTCCGTTCCAACTCCCTCCCCCCAAAAAAAATCGTAACAAAACCATCGTGGACATGACAGAACGACTGACAATAATGGCGAAAAGAGGGGAGAAAGTCGAGACAGACAAAGAAGCCGCGGTGGTAAGAAGCTGGGTTAGCGGTTAAAGGCAACGTGGCGGCCTTTAGACGTCACTTGGAATTCCAAATATCCGCGAGTTTCTACGATGTAATAACGAATGACACGGCCCGAGAACAAACGAAACGAGAAAGTCTGCCGGTAGGTAAGAGAGGCTCTCGTAAGAGGGTTGGAGAAGGAGGGTTGTCTTGGCTGGCTTCGCGAGCAACGAACAGCCGAGGGTGGGAGGTTTGGGTCGATGGTGGAATGGGGGCAGAAAGGGGCGCTACAAGCGAGTTCCAAAGGGTCTCCGGCACTTTCCAGGCGAGAATTAATCATCCCTGGCAGCTCTCAATGTCCCTACCTACTACTTTCTTCGCATTCCCAATTATACGCTTATCTACCAAATCCGCGTCAAAGCTTAAACATAAACGAACCCCTTTTCGAAAACTGCAAATTGTTGGGATGCCCGCTGAGCAACACTGAACCGATCAGACAAAACGATTCTTTTTACATTTTTAGGTAAGTTGCTCCAGTTTTTGATTTTATCGTTTAGAAAAATTTTCCTTTGATTGTTCTGTGAATTTTAATATCTCATTAGTGTTATAAAAATTAATTTATTCATCTATATGTACAAGAAAATAAGATTTAGAATGTTTCTTTTCATTTCAAGTTTATTCTGGACACAAGATTTTTATAAGAAAATTGATTATATTAAACTAATTGTGACGAATGTAACAAGGCTAATTAGCGGTTCACTGGTAGGGAAGGCAACAATAGAGGGCTCGTAAATAACTTTCTAGGAGGAGATCACGATGAAAGAAGAGAGGAAGTAAGTAGTAAACACTTCTACACATGGATACAAGCGAGGTAGGAGCAGAGAATTTACGAGATAGCATCCCCCACTCTGTTCCCTTTCGTCCTACCTTCCTCGTCCTGTCTTCAACAGGTGGTCGTTTTGCTCAACTTCTGTATAGTAATTTATAATTTAATTGATTTATGCTCTCGACCACGGTTATACAGACCGGCCACTCTGTTTTCGAGAAAAGTACCGTTCCGTAACATCGGCTCGAATAACGGTACCGCTGCGAATTCGATTTACAACCGCGTTTTACCCACCGTCCATTCCGATCTATCGGTTCTCCACTCTATTGTCTTTCCAAAGTTTGTTCCTTATTTATTTTCCCACTTAGTCGCTTTTATGCATATAAAAGTAAATTAGAAAAGTAACGAAAAACTTTATTTTATTTTTATTTCTAATACAGTATCTGGAAATTTAAAGACTGAAATACGAGAACAGAATGATAAGAATTTCTTGACGAAATTTAGTCAACCTTACTAGAAGGTTAACTACCTTCCCAACCCTCGACAGTTAACTACTCTGCAGTATCGCACCGTTAAGGTCGAATTGCGAACCGATGAGACTGAAAGTAGCAATCCATGGAGAAGGGGCGAAAAGTTTCCAGGTGTCGACCGAGCCGTAGTTGCACGTAAACCCAGCGGCCAGGTCGTCGGTTCATCAAGTAAGTTGAATTGAAGAAGGACTTGTTTTCTTTGGCCGCGATTTAAGGTACCGATAAGGTGGTCGTGATTCGACTGCCGCTCCGCGTCTATCTCCTAATGACCCCGTCGTGAATCGCGAGCACCACCTTTAATTTACCGATGTTACGTCGATAAAAGTTGCCATTTGCCGATGGAAATTTAAGTTCCCGTTGAATCTAACCCCTACCCTTTTTACGTCGTTACTCACGAAGCAACGAGGACAAAAGAGCACTTAAAAGTTATTACCATTCTATGAAATTGTGTAGATCCATCATATTTTTAACAATTTTGAACAAATTTAGTTTAATTAGGAGGAGGAGTAGAAACTTTAACACTCCTTGTTCCCTCATTAGTCCAACTAATTACGCGAAATAATTTTCAAGGAGTCTGCCAATTCGTTTTAATTTATGACCAGAACTCTTTTACTCGACATTTGCGACAAGGTCGTGCAAACCCATCTGAACCAATAACCATGCAAAAGCGAAAGGATTTCTCAAGCTTTTATCCTTTCTTCAAATGACCCCCAGTTTCACGGTCAACGGAAATCGATTCGACTCATTGAAAACGTTTTCAAATTTTCACCCTCCTTGTCAGTAGAACATTTAAGGCTACACTGGTTCTGTCGATCCCGAAGGAACGTCCGAAAAGGAGCAAGATCACTTCAATCTTTCCGAAAATGAAATTCGTTCAAGGACTTCTTTACAAAAATCATTCCGAGGTGTCCACGTGGGAGGATTCAAGGGAGCCGGACAAAGCTCGGTCGGACCGCGTGACAGACACGGGGTTGCAGAAGCAACCCCCATCGTCGTAGAGCCTTCGAGTTCTTTCTATTCCTCGCGGGGTGGTTCTTTTCCCGCAGTCTGCGTTAACCCTACGAGCAAAACTATTACAATTCCTGGTGTGGCTGAAGCGCGTTCCCATCCTTCCTACCACCCCATCCCACCAGCCACCATCACCTCGTTGCTCGTAGTCCTCCGCAACCCACGTCTCCCCCACCCTTCAACGTTCTGGCATCGCGCCCGTCAAGGGAGATTTATAGCAACTCGAATTCCTCGACTACTAGTCGGCCGTGGCTGAAGGAACGAACAGCGAACGAAGAGACGAGACGAGACGGGAAGCAAAGAGTGAACGACGAGGGCGGAAGGGAGAGGAGGTAACACACCGCGGTTCCGGAGAACCTGGAGGGCCCTCTGTTGAGTGGTTGTAGGTGGCGCTGGGTGACGTTGGGTTGTTGGCCCGCTTGACGGGCTGGCAAGGTGTCGGGGGTGCAACGGGGCACTCGTCACTCCGACGTGACGGCCGCAGAACTCGCTTCTCTTACTCCATCGCTTGCTCACCTAACCCGTCGACGTCGTTGCAGCTGCTGAAGGGTTGCACCGGTGCTGGTGTACCCGTGTTCCATGCCGCAGTCGATACTTCTCGCTCTTAGTTTGGCATGCAACGATTCGGTAAAAGCCTCATTGCTGCGAATCGCTCTATGACCCTTTATTGCCGTGAACGATCTAGAGATCGAGGCCATTCTATGGGATTAGGACCGCGAGGAACAATTTCCTTTTTGCTTTGAACATTCATCTTCCGAGTATAACACATCTTCTTCGGAGACAGGCTGTAAAGTAATTCGAAGACACAGTTCCGAGGTCGCGAACATTTATCGACCAAGGGAAGACAAGCGTTCATTTTAAAACAAAAGCGTGAACGGAATAGTTTTCCGTCGGCTACGGTGGCAATCGGTCGGATAAAGGGAGGAAGGACCGTGGTAGAGACGAAGTAGATATCAATCACGCGGCTCGGTGACGGGCCGAGATTTGGCAGCAGCTTCGAAACGCGAGGAAGAAGAAGGAGAGAAAGAGATGCGGGGGTCGCAAACAACCGCGTCCATTCTATCGTCATTTTTCTAAGAAACCCTCGCTATATTGATTCGCAAGTTATCGAAGCGTCAACGCCGACTCCTATTGTGGTCGTTGCTGTCTACGTCTACCACGAAACTTGTCACAGTCTTCTTGCTTCTTGTCACCGTTTCTTCCAGGAATCTTGGCAACGAACCTAAATGACTCCTTTCCTTGTCTTCAGTCTAATCGATTTTAATTTTTTTTTAGTTGCAATGTTGTTCTGCGATTCATCATAGATAGGATATTGAAGAGCATTATCAAGTGTATTTATTATTCATAGATTCAATATTTAATTTTTCTAAATTTACACCGATGGAATTCAAAGAGGAACGTTTCGTCTGCCTTACGGATTCAGTCAGCGTCAGCTTCAATGAGGAAGAAAGCGTGCTTCTCCTCTGACCAGTGTCAGTTACATGTTCTAGAATACTAGCCCCATGGGAGCAGAGAGGTAAGACTTCAGCCGGCAAAAGCCGTGGGTGTCAGGAAAACTGAAAACGTGATGTGACACGTGCGCGCGTTTAGGTCGACGAGCCTTGTTATGAGATTGCGTAACGCTTCGACTTGCGACACGAGACACGTCGTATACGAATGTTTAAAATACAATTGACAAAAGGATGGTACTAGAATTATAGGTGAGGAAAATAGCGGAGAATTTCGAAATAGTGAATGTACAAAGAAAAAATTTTAATTTTGGCTCTAAAATTCAGAATAAATTATATAAATTATTGCAGATTCTTCAAATATTTTTGCACTAAAATAAAATTTGATAAAGTAAATTCGAGTAAGAAAATTTGAGTTTATTTTCAATAGCTTTTAATCTTGTAGAAACGAAAATTCTGCCATCTACGATAAAACAATGGCAACCAATCTGACAGGTGCATTGTAACCAATGGTAGATGTCTGTTTCTTCAAGATCTACAGTCTACAATATCCAGCGATGCAGGTTTTCAACGATTTCTAGAGTATGCTATAAGATGGCGTCGTAGTCGTTGTACAGCCATCATGAATCAAATTATGTCAAGAGGAAGTGGGGGTTGATGCGGACGATAGGTGGGTCTTTCTGGTTAAGCCTACCACACGAAGGGTGGAGTCGGCTACGGGTGACCTACGACCACCTGGACGTGCCACATTGGCGTAGGAATATTAGATGAGTAACCAAGATTCACTGAATTAAATGAAATATTTTTAATTACAGTTTAAGAATAATTGGTCAAGATGAAACTTTAAGTAAATTATATGGATAACATAAAGTCAAACTATAATTTTAATATTTACGAAAGTAATAAAATATACAGGCATTTCTAATGTATTAGAAATGAGCAAAATTGATAATTTTACCTTGGTATAATTATTAAGCTTTAATATTCAAATTTTAAAAAGCGAAGAATTGAAAACTTCGCGCTACATACCGTACAGAATTGATCCGTTTAAATCATCCATCTACTGTTAGGGGTGGAAACCGTTTCGTGATGCAAACGTCGATACTACAGTTTATGACTTTTATGTTATGTTTCCACAAATTGAATATATCTTCTGCCAGTAATTTCCTTACAGAAAAAGTCAATCCCTATACTATCTTTAGTTGATAAAATCGCAAATGCTCTATAGCTAGTAACAGTAGATGTTGAAAGTTTTATTTCTACAAATTGGGAAAATATATCTTCTATCAGTAATTTCCTTACAGAAAAAGTCAATCCCTATAGTATCTTCAGTTGATAAAATCGCAAATGCTCTACAGCTAGTAACAGTAGTTTTTAAAAAATCATCCCTAAATTAAATTTTTTTCTTTTTAATTATGAAATCTTAATCATATTCATATTAATGTAAATTTTCAAGACTATAAATCTGTCTTCACCACTTATTTTACTTTAAGTCCTGAATACTATATGAAATGAAGAACTATATAGAAGTTTCAGATGTGAAATTTTTAATGAAAATGTATTAATTAAGTTAGAAATCGTCATGATAGAAAAGAAAATCAACGAGTTCAACATCTGTGTGCCCAAAAGACCCAAGGCATATCGGTTATCAGGACGGAATATCTCGCGTCCATGATCAATGACTGGAATACTATTCGTGACTATGCAATCTCTGAAGGCTGTCTATCCGAATACGTCGACAGACTCAAGGTCATGGTCAATATCATGGACAAATTACTGGTATGTACAAGGAATGCGGAATATAAATAGTACGTACTAACATGCCGCAATCTGGGTGCTGCAATTGATCAGAATGCAGATGGCATTAAAATAAATGCTACGCTTCATCAAGTAATAGTTTCTCTTATTTCAATATGGTCTTTGATATTTCATTATTGTTAACCATATTTCTGTTCATTATAATTTTGCAGCATTGATTATAAGTGCTTATAAAAATTAAAAAATTGATATTTGCATCAATTGATAAAATTTGTATCCTTCTTTTAGATCTAAATTAGTGCAAAATTCAATTTAAGGTACATTAATTTCAATTAAAAGTCACTTTCAAAAATGAAGTTTCTATCCTACCAGAGGATAGAACTTTAGCGGCAGCCTAATATTATTTCGGTAGAGTGGAGCGAAGAGTAGTGGAAATAACTGTCACCGAAGACAATTTATGTTAATGACTGTTCTTGGCCCGAGGAGGGACGAGGCCGGACCATGGAACAGTCTGCACGACTCCGTGGAGCCGAACGGACACGCCACGGTCCGCTCCGCTGTACGCGCCAACGATTCACCCCTCTCCAACCATCGAAATACCAACCACCCTAGTTTCAACCCCTCGATGGCGACGCCCAGCGTCGATCTACTGTGTTCCCATCTTCTACCACGCAGACTCGAACATCCATCGTCCCATGGCGCTTGTGCGTGACCCGTTGGATTTTCCAAAAACACTGTGTTCGATCTCCATTGTGCTGTTTCAAACATCTTTATTAAATTTTGAATTATTTTAACATCCCAGTGATTTGTTTTAAAAATTGAACCAAGTGATTGATACAAAAGATTTGACAAGTGGAGTATCTTGTACCTTTGTGTATTAATTCAAACGCAAAATGGGTGACGGGGTTGTAAAAAAATTGTTTCGTTTTAATTCAGAGTGAAAAGTGATATTTGGAAAGGACTTTTCTATTTGGAGATTGTGACGATGTACGATCATTATGTTAAGTTTCTTAATGTTACCAAGTATGTTACGTTTATTAAGTCGTAGAAAGGTTCCGAGATATGGGGGTTGAATTATCTGCGTTGGTGTCAATGCATGCGTTTTCAACCCTCAAAGCGCAGACTCGCCGGGAATCCATTGCTACCATCTTGTATCAAGGGGGTGGTGAAAGCTTTGTCGGGGATGTCTAGCAACGTTCCGTCGATGCACCCCCAAATATTTGCGAACAACTGATATCTTTCGCTACAGTGAGTATTTGCAATGGCGTAGACTTATTCGTGGTGATTTCTTATTGATAGTTTTAACTCATTTATTTCACGACTACTTCGTAAAATTTAAATTCATGTAGATTTTTATATTTCATCATTTGTCCATTTTCCAAAGCAACAATGGTGACCCAGTAAATTCCTCTTTCTCGTATTACAAGTTCCAATTACAATTTAAGGTCATAATTTATTAATTACGAAAGTAAATTAATGACCACTTGACATCTTTCTTATTATAAATTAGTGTTTGATCAAATTTCACGCAAATTAGATACACCTCAACATTTTTACAAGCTTTACGCATCAAAACCGCATTCCATACCTCAAAATTGTCCACGATTTAACGTCTACCATATCAAATCCAACTGACATTAGGCTCGAAATTGCATGTTCTTGCAAAAGTGGAATAACCTGGTGATTCGAGCGAAGCAAAACCGACGTCATTAGATCGTGGACAGGTTGGTGATTAGGATTCTGTTTTGGAGCGGGTCATAAGAAGTTTCCCAGTGGCGCCGACGGTGGTGGATTTTTCGTCCGTTTCGGCCAACGTCTCGGAATCTGGCGGGACGTCGATCGATTTGCACGGTGCCCTTCGTCGGCACACTTTGCTTTCGCTTCATTTCACAAAAAGTAACCAAAGGGACATCCTTGTCCAAATCGATCGACTTTCTTCAGATGTGATATTCCTTTCAACTCGGTAAACGATAACATTCTATTAACGTACTTGTGCGGACAATCTGGGTACCCATTTAGGTTTTAATATTTAAAATTTGCTACATAAATTTTGATTTTGGAAACCTAAGTCTAGATGAAAATATCCGAAGAATGCAGGACATAAAAAATTTCTAATAGAAATATATGGAACTAGGTACCCAGGTATCTGGATATCTACACAAGAACACCCACTTCAAGTTCTTCGTTGCATTGGGGCTCACATGATCACCATTGTTAATTCACTGCAGTATAAATTTAATGTTTTGATAAAAAAGAATCAAACAGGAATAAACACTGAGCTCTATCTTCTTATCTCTTCCTCTGATGCTACATTCCCTCGCTCCATTCATTGCAAATGTATTTAAGATTTTTTTCCACATGTAAGGTTTAAGGTTATCTGTACATTCATTAAAATTCCAGGAGCTCAATATTCCCTCTGTAACAGAATCTTATCTGAGATGGTTCCTCATTGAAGTTCACTGTTGTGTTCTTTGAAGTATACTTCCGTTACGACTTGGTCACGTTCTACGTGGATCCATTTAGCAAGTTGCTTTCGAATCCGTTCAGGAAGACGACAATATTCAGTGAACGTGTGTGCACGAGGGCAAACCGGCTATAACTCCAATCAAGGACTCACTCGGCCCACATTCCACGTCTAGTCTTTCGATCCCTAAACTTGCTGGTACGTCCCACTCGATGCTTCAACTTCGTCCTGGCTCGATTAATCCTTGATTTTCATTTATAGTTCCCTCTGGTAAAGTTTCTTAATTTATTGGCAAACTTGATCATTATTTCTTCATGGTTGAATTTAATTTATATTGTAGCTTTCTGACTGTAACAAGAGAAATTTCGAAATCTACCATTTTATGATTTAAGTTATCTTTGAAATTTGTTCCAAATGTAATCTCTTTAGCGTTATGAATATTTATTTATTAGACTTAGAATTTTGTGATGTAAGATGTTTAAAAAAATTGAAAGTACCTGTGTACAAACAGTAGCGTTATCCCTGCAAATATTGTCATTTTATTTTCCATGCTGGTGCACTACATCATGTTAAGTGTCTCGCAAACTTGTTATTAGTTAAAACACACCGACAGGTCTGTTGAATCGACACCCGAACGAACAAGAGCCGGGCATGACGCGACGAAGCTTCCGATGATCGATGTTGTCCACACAATACACAGACCGCGATTTTTAGATATTAAACGCATCATTCACAACCTATCAGCACGTTTACTTGTTGAATATTTGCCCTTTCGATATGCCATAACTCTATTCACAAACCATAAGTATCTAAATACTAAGAAATTTTATAAAACCTTTTCCTTCATCCGACCATTTAACTGCGATATTCAGAAAAATTGGAGCACAGTGAAATTTTAATTTAATCAGGAGAGTGAAATCGAAATGGAATTTCGTTGACAGCGAGTGAAATAGATTTTATTCCGCTACTCCCGATGGTGAATTCCCGTTGTTTCCGCGCAATTTCACGGCGCTTGATATCAAGAAATTAGAGTGTCGCGATCGTAAATTAACACGTTTCCGCGAGAAGTGACGTCACGCGCCGCAATTCGACCATGGGAGACGCAACGAGGTCTCGTTGCTCTTTTATAGTTTGCCATATGGGCACAAGTCGTTTCCCACCACTGATACCGATGCAGTATGATGTTATAAACTACACGCTAATTCGACCACACCAGTGTTGAAACTGTTTTTTTTAACCACACTCGGAAAAAAATTTAATTGGTCCTTTTAAGATAATCTAATGAAGTCCCGCGATGATACTGCAAACACCGTTAATTAATACATTTAATTCTAATGCAAGAATTTCTACAATTTCCAAAATACAAAAATTGTATATTTTTTTACTTTCAGCGGAGAAATTATTAAATTTTCTATAATGGTACTTGATGTTTAGTTCGGTCTTTGGTTCCTGATGTTTTATCATTTCTTGCAAACGATTAAGATGGTCGGCAACTGGCGATTAGAGGCAGTTAGAGACAACGAGCCTCCACGTTGCTCTTCCCGTTGAAAATGCAAAGTTAACGGGGCCGCTAAAAATCTTCTCGGAATTGCACGTCCGGTTTTACGGACACAGCACCAGAGTAGTTTTATTACGGCAATATAGCAGGGATGCTCGGTGTATACTATTGTTCAACTTTTTCCTCGCCTGCCTTCGAAGCAGGTATCGTGGACCTTTGGAGCTAATAGGCAAAGAATAATGGCGGTCAATCGACCTTCGATTCACTGGCCAGTTTGCTAGGAACTTTCAAATTCTCAAAATTGCACTCTCTTCCTCTTCTCGAACACAAAACTTTCTTCTTTCGTGCTCACTTTTCGATTTACAATTTTGAAAAAGGGCACCCCTATCTTCTCAACATGAAAAACTCATCGCCAACCCTCCATTCCATATCTTCGAGGCAACGAAAATCCCTCTTCCGTTCATCGTCAACCGTTACGTGAGTCACCCTCCCGATTTCACCTTGGCCACCCCACACGGTTCCCTCTCCTTCGGGGCGATCGAGTCAGTAGCGAAAGGTTTTCACCCTTATCGGTGGAAATTCTATCTAGCTCGAGGAAAATGTGGAATTTCGGTAAAGGGGATAGAAAGAAAGGGAAAGCCAATGAACGTTGGGTGGATGGGACTCATTGTCGTGGAATAAAAGCAACGGGAGTTCCCCACGGATGCTGAGCCCTCGCGTGGATTTCATTTCAGGATCGCATAAAATGGTGTGCTGCTAGTGATGTTGGCGAAGATGGTGGTGCCGAGGGGAAACAGGAGAGAGAAAGATAGAAACAACAGGAGGGAAGAAGAAGAATGGAGAGGACAGAAGGCCGTGAAACCGAGGAGACGGGGAGAGGACAGAGATGTGCCGGCTGGCAAGCAGATGGTTGCGCCGTTTATTGGTTTATTCGTCGGTTCAGCCATGACGTCCCGTTCAGCCATCGGACCAGCCGGTGTGTGTTCCTCTTTGTGTTCCTCGGGAAGATTCGACTAACACCCGGGTCTTATCTCTTCCCGATTTCGAGACAAACCTATAACTATCGGCTGGGATTTGTACGAAAGTGACTTCCACGGTGGTTGCAGCATCGACAGCTTTGTCTTTTTGGAGCTTTTTCGGGGATTGTGATTTACACGCTTGGAATGCACGAGGGTGATGATGTCTGAGACTTTTGGAGGTGTGTAGCATTGTTATGGTGGTGATTTAATTTTTCTTTTATTTTTGAATTGAAAGAAAGTGTATTGGAATACTTGTGAATTTGGTGGATTTGATGGTGTGTGTTATTTAAAATGATAAAACATTGAAATCATTTTTAATCGTATTTTATTTTCTGAAATTTTATACATGCTAAATAATTATTTCACGATCGATTTGCTTTTCAACAGGGATAGAGTGCGGATGTCGATTGTTCAAAGAGGGACTTTCGCGATGAAGGGGTTGATTGATGCTGACTCGGCTGCTCTTATGGTCGCTTACACGGTACACTATATTTCATTTGTGCACATTATGACACTCCAAATGAAGCCAATTCTCAGTTGCTTGCTTACATCCGATCCATTTGCTTATCAGTAGCTTCACAATTTAAGAGAAACGTTTGTTTTCAGGTAATCAACGTGACAGAAAGAGTGCTGAAATAAATAATTGGTATGTAATTAATAAAAAACAAAACTGTAAGATCAAATTCCATCTAACATAGTTTGATTTCAGATACAAATTTAATCTCACCCGTGGAAAACTGGAAATATGGAAAATTCAGGTATATTAAATCAAAGTTTTCAAAATTTTCATTGAAGCACCGTTGTATTAAGGGTATGTAAGTTTTTTCTATTTAAGAAAATGATTTTTCAAAATCCGATTATCAGCTCGAAGAAGTTTCAGCACCCGTTCCCATAAATACACAAATTATTTTATCATACCCTCCGTTTCAGTTCAACGAGCAACATTTTCCAGGGAATTAGCGACGGCGAGTATATCATCGTTCGTGGAAGTTCCATTATTCCGTAACCAAACTTAGTTCTGCTTCGACCGAGAAAAGTTTCGATGGTTTCGGGAGCAACAGTTCTAATACGGAAAATTATGCGAATAAGGGAACGAGGATAATAGCGTCGGGGTGCAGACGCGTAGGCAGTTACGGCGAGCAGAGGGTGAAATCGGGTCGATAGGAGACGTTGAGAAACTCGAGCAACCACCGACCTCGCTCCACCTATCGGAACCCAAGGATTCTAGGATTAGCACGCCCTCTGCACGCGGGATGCTTCGTGGTGGGAGATATTTTTCTATGGAAACTAGTGATGCGTCGTTTGTAAAATCTTCCTTCATTTTAAGGACCGAGTGAAAACTCAGTGACAAATTTTTCATGACTGCAATATGAGGGGATTGTAAAATGTTAATTAAAGCAGTACCATAGCACCATTCGTGCTGAAAGTATTAACTTTCGAGCGGTGGCTGTACGAAATATACAACGGTGCTTCTACTAAAATTAGAATGGGGTGGAAAATTTTCTTCTTCATATCTAGAGAGGGTTTTAACATTCATAGTGGTAATTCATGTTGGTTTATTGGTCCCAAGAGGGAGGTTACTGGCTCTTCAAGGATACAAATCAATGACTACCTGCTCGCAAATATGCACCCTTGAGAATTCGTTTCGAATGTCATTCTCGAAGTCACGTTTCGAAGGATTAAGGTTTCTGACAAATTTTCGACAGCTTGTTAATTTTCAATCTCAAATTACTCGATTTATTTCCTCCCTTGGAACATGAATTACCCCTTACGTTTTCAACCCTTTCACATTCTTCGATATGTTATACTGAACTTTATTTTATTGAACACGCAAGGGGGTTAACAATATCGATATCTAAATAAGATACTAACATTGATTTGTTTTGATTGTAGAAACCAGTACCCGCCTAATTCAAGTTAATCCCGGATTGGCAAGCGGAAGGAGAGGATTCTAAGAGGATTAACCCACTACTCGAAGCTCGAGGAATTTGGGAGCCTATCGTTGTCCTATCTGTTTCAATTCCCTGAACAAAATAATCCGAGGTAAAATATTTTGACAGTCCACAGTGTTCCTCCCTCTTCAAACTTTCAATATAAACAGACAAACTTAATCTGACAAATGGCCCTTTCCGATGTTCTCTGACGCTTCAGGTAATCACGAAATTCATAGTAAAATATTGGATATTCATAAATTATTTCCCCTAATTAGATCGAATAAAAGAGGTTTTAATTGTGTTTACTTTTAAGATTACAAAATGATCCATGACCATCGATGATTTCAGATAAACAAGGAACGCCGATGACCAAGTAACCTGGAAATGCAAGGTACATCGACACGCTCAAATAAAAGAAGCTGTACCGCTACGGAATAAGAGGAGAAAGAGGATGAAGAAGAACACGACCTTGCTACATTCAGCTGTGTCATCCGTGAGCCGTTAACGCTCAGGTGCTTTCGATCCCAGGGACGAGCATCAATCACTATCGATAGTGCAGGTGTAATATGATTATTGTCGCTAAGATAACCAGACACGATATACGTCCTGGAAGTGTGCCAAGTGACATAACAGGATTTATCTTTAACAGTGTATCAAAATCACCAACTCCAACCAACGAATCTTGATGACTTTTGGTATTATTGATGTTTTAGAAGAAACTTTAGGGTATTTTATATTAATTTTGATAATCGTAAGAGGATGGAATTTTTAGATAATTCAATTTCTGAAATCGTTTAAGAATAAATGATTTTTGCATCATTTGTTGAAATGGTTTAAGCATCTAATTCTTAATTTCCAAATTTTACTTATACTCATCCAGTGAAATTCGAGGTAAATTTCTTTACTCAACTAATGGGATTCGTTTCGTGGCACACTTTGCAGAAATAGATGCAACCCTGTTCGTCGAGGCAATGACTCGACACAATCGTTCTATTTTCAAATGACTCTGCACTTCGGCTACTCTCGATCTGGGCTAGCGAGAGCGGCAATTTTAACTGTTTATCGGATCCTTTGAGAAACATTCTACTTCTTGGAACGGGAATAAGGATGCTCGAAGTGTTTCTATTAAATTCGGGACTACCTTATAATTGTGGCATCAATCAAATACCAAAATTATGAATTTTCGTTTTCAAAATCATTAAGCTTTAATTAAAATATAAATAATAAGATACTAATTAGAGGATATTTTTAGGTGGACCAAATGATGACGAGAAGGTTGGACACCGTCAATAGCATACTGGGCCAACGAAGAAGTTAAATGAGGCACGTATGTTATTCAAAATCATAGACAATTCTCTGAAATGTTATGCGTTGTAAAATCAACGTGCCGATAGGAGAAGGCCCAGTTAATGCTCTACATCTACCCTGTAGATCCGAATTTGTTTGATAAGAGGCGACAAATTCGGTTCTAGAGAGGTTTGTGTGGTGCATACAGAGCTACGGTGTGGTCTCTAAACTATGTGCTAACGTTTCCCATAACATTTTTCAATGATATCGCGATAATCTTCAACAATTGTACTGGCGTTTCAATACCTGTTCTATCGTCAAACAAAAGAGAAGATGAAGATACAGATAGAAACGGTATCTTAGGAAAATCGAACATTTACATTGTAAGAAATTTAAAAAATGATAGTTGAATGGGGTCAAGGGAGAAAGATGGTGGTAAGGATATTGAAGGTCGTTAAAAAATTCATTAATCATAGTGCAAAGTAAATGACACGATACTTGCAATGAATTTCTGTTAGTATAGGTTCAAATTAATTGGCTACGTGTCTATAGTCCGTCCAATGAGACGAGTCAGTATATGTTTACAAATTCGCGCGCTCGACGCAGGGCCGACGCACAGTTGTTTCCAGTTCTTCTAACGCTTCGGTCGAGGTCTGTATACAGTGAGTCGAGCCTGTTTCGAGCACGTGAATTTATATGCATTTGCGAAATTGTCTCGTTGGATGGACTATAGTGATCGATTTGGGTCTTGCAAGTGTCTTCAACCCCTATTTCTTCAATCATCTTCATTTTATATTGATTTGTATGTTAAAGTAGATAAGATGTACAGAATTTCTAAAAGGATAATAATCATCTATCGACAATCTATTGCACGTATTACACACGCTGCATTAGATTGCACATTCCTGGTGCAGCCTGTACAGATAGCTTCAAAATTCGTAAATTGTAAACTAATAATCCTTTAATTGTAAATGTTCGTTAAGTTTAAATTAGTTATTAAGCGTATCAATTAAGCGTGTTCCATTAATTTTAAATCCTAAATTTGCAAATTTTTCATTTCCATTATATACGAAGACCCTTAAAAATCCTCAACCCAAAAACACAAAGTACCTCAAAATTTAATTAATTTGATATTTGTAATCCGCAGTCTTCCATTTGGAATTTCATTAAAAAAAAATTAATATGTAAGTAGTATCTTGAAGAATCCACGAAGAGAAGCATAAGCGGATTGTATTTTCCAAGATGACGAGAAAGGACGACGATTCGTGATGGAAGAATAAGCGAACGGTTAGATAGATGTCTCATCTTTTTTAATTCGACACCTTATCCTCTTATTCACGGTCGATCAGAAGATGCTGAGCGTGGCTTTGCTGCGTTTTCTTGAATCCCTCTGTAACAGCCGCTACGCGTTCATTAATCTTTGATCGTGTTCACATTAAAATGACACGCCGCTCGTTACGCAACGGCTGGTAAGTGCTAATGAAGTGCATACACGGCCGTAATTACCGTTCAAGTAGCCTGCCCATTTCTCGCGCGTGCGCCAATCGAACAGAGAGAAAAAGAAAAAGGAAAAAAAGCCAGTGTATTTCATAATGATTCCAATCGGAAAAAGAACGTTTTACATGATTGCACGCTTTTATAAAGGCAGACGTGAAACCTCCTTCGTAAATATTGTTTTGAAATACAGAATTTTTCCATGGAATGAAAGATTAAAAATCTAAGCTTGTCAGTGTTTAACTTTGCATTAATGTGATGAATAAAAATGAGATGGGTGGTGTGGTGGGTGTATGACACCCCTATATTTTTGGTTTATTTTAGCAATTTTTATTTACTTGCAAAAATGAATTTTGAATTAAGAGATAATTTTGCCATGTAACAATAACACATAGAAATAAATGACTGTCCATCCACGGCTAATATAAATTAGAATAGAATACTGTTAATTTAATTAAATTGATGATTGAATTAACCCAAGTTGATAGGAACATACCTGAGAACTGAATAGAACACTTCGATCCTCGACAATCCTTTTATACTCAATGATTGACCTCTTTTCAAATAACACGATAACTGAAGTTGCTTATTTCTCTATCATTTACCTCTTTCACAAAGAAATTATCTTTTACTACAATCTACAAGATAGTTCGTATGCATTTTATTATACAAGCCGTTAGTATAATTTACGATCCTTGATCATTAAAACTCAAGATGATTACAGTGCTACTGAAGTGCAATTGTCGCTTAATTGAAGCATATTTTATTTGCTCACTTATCGCAGAACAGCCTTATCACTGATGATGATCAACGCAACTCATTAGCCCTTGGTGACGTGTGAGTATCTAATCGCAGCTTGTAATCACGACACGGATTAGCTGATCAATGAAAGGATTGAAAAAAAAAACAGAGTTCCTAGTGGAAAATCTACAATTCAGAGCAGAGTGCAAAAAAAGAAATTAATTGGAAACCGATGAAGCGTACCATGACGCACGTATCGTCGTGATTAACGAGGAAACATTGATTCGATCATTTTATTCTGATTCGAGCAGTTTGTACCAAAAATACAATTGAAGTTCTTTTAGTAATTGTTCAAGAATTTTCATGAGTTCTAATTGAAATTTTCACTAGACTCGTTTTAATATGAAAATTATCCATATTAATAAAAAATTTGATTCGAAAGGATCTCCCTTAACTCGAACCTAACCTAAGTCACTCTTTCATCAAAGAATTCACAAGTTAAAGAGGATCATTAGTTAATACGTAAACACCATCAAAGTGTCCTTAACCATGATGTGCTCGTGCAGTCGAGTACAAGTGGGCACCTTTCCTGACGTCCGACATGAATTCCTTCATTAGAGTCAGCCATGCAGCCGAGTCATTAACTTACCTGTAAACATCGTTGCCATCAAAACGTCATCATTTACACGAAATCGCAAAAAAATAGTCGCGAGCCAACGGTGTCAGGTAAACGGTAAAAACACATAACCGGACGTTCGTGGCACGAGTTTCTCCATTAAGCTCGATTTACAAGAACGGTGTAATCGTGTTCTGCTTTCAGTCAAGTCTCGAAGTGGCTTGAGTAGGTAATTGAGAGTTAGACAAGGTTTGGGTTGGAAATATCAAACAAGGGTTGCAAACCAATTAAATTTAATATGAATTTATTCCTATTACGTTAACTGATTATTGAAGGAATGGTAAATGTAATTTAACGATAGTAACTGCAATTTAAAATAGGAAATATTGTACTGTATAGAATCAATTCTGCTTTAAAGTAATGATTGTGTAATACCTTGTGTAATTGCCCCAATTACGGAACGATCAGAGATTTAATCTTAGGTAAGAGACGTTCTTTGCAAGAAAGTAACTATGAAATGACTGACATTTCAAGCAGTGTAGTTCAAAGTGTTTATGCATTGAATAATAGCATAATTGTATGTTTTGCTTCGGGTTCTGTACATGAAAGAGGCGCGAAGTTGTTGCAATACTTATGTAAGGGGTAGGGTTTGAAGTTAAACGAATTAGATTTGATTTGAAATTAAACGAATTAGATAAAATCACAAATAAATGATAACATTTTAACGAACTTGTATAAAATGCCCTGAATCAACCCCCTATTCGATCCAATATTCGATCCAATATCTCTACGTTTTTCTTTTTTCAGGGATCGCAAGAAGATTAGACGTTGAGAAGAAACTGCAAACCGAGTTCGAGCCACGAAGAAGTTGGCGTATCCGGCGGAAGTTGGCAGAAGAGAGGGCAGCAGCCAGGTTCAATCGGCGTCGTCGAATGAAGACAAACGGTTCTGGGGTCGCGGTGGACGCGTTTACCTACGTTTCCAGAGATCCTCGCGGAGTCTCGAGTCTAAATCCACATCCAAGTGCGCGAGAAAACATAGCAAGATTAATGATATGCCTGACACAAGGGAGAGGGTGCTGGTTGGCGAGCACACTGGCGTCGGTAACTGCCAAGAGGAAACAGCAACCACAGGAATAGCTTTGCTACTTTCCATACTGCACCGTCCTGCGCCTTACTCCAGTTGCATACTTGTCACTCATTTCCTGTCATGCTCAAGAATCTCGCGATACCTTGCATATTGTTGTTCTTGTTTTCCGAGGTATTTCGATTCGCATTGTCTCAGTCGTAGTAAGTGGGGAATCGATCTTAGGGTGCGTATAGAAATTCTTCAGGCGATGAAATGAAAGAATGGTGAGTTTATTTCTTGCATCGATTGAGTCAAGAAATCTACATCTGTAATCTTCCAGATAGAAGACAAAATTAAAAATGTTGAAAGCTTCGTTAACTTCTATCGGTCGAAGAATAAAGAGGAAAAGAATAAAGAAAATACGGATAGAAATGCTATTTAACGGCGACTTCTTACAACAACCTGATTATGATTTATATCTATTCGTTTTCTTGTTATAACTCGCACACATATCTGATTACTTTTCGTAAATCACATCGTTCTACATTTTCTTTGTAGAAATGATTGATGAATTCTGGCTGATTAACATTCCAGCTTTACACTAGCCACTCATTAGCCGGCAAGATTGTACCTTGAATTAAAAATAACACGGTTCAAAGATTTTATTCGTGGCTAATCGTTCCAGTTTGCTTCATTCATGCATTCCCCTGCTATTAACTTTTTCGTCATCGCTGCCGTTTGTAGTCGTCATTCACAGCCCGTGTTGATTATAACAATTACGTATGTACATACGATGGTCATTTCGGTGAAAAAATGACACAAACTCGCCGAATACCAATAATGAAATCGTCACAAAGAGGATGTAAGGCTAAGCAGCCATCGGAGGAATCGTTTTCGAGGTGCACCGGTTACCAAGACGCTTAGGCGTCGTCACGTCGTGCGGTTAACGGAGCAGGCGAATGGGGTTAACTAAACGGAGCGTTCGCGCGAACAGCGCAACCCCCGTCGGATTCGTGGCCGGTGACTGATGGCACCTCCTCGATCACCAAGGATCCCCCGACGATCCTCGAAACGTCGCCACACGCCAACAGCCTCCGAAAGGAGAGGGAGGAGTTGAACTATGCAAAGACACGTCCGATACCAGTCATTCTAATTCCAGATCAGCTGTCATTCGAATCACAACGCTCTGTCCGAGATGTTTTCCTTTGATGGAAGCTTCTTTTTTTTCTCACTGAAGTGGTCGTCCTTCTTCGTGGTTCTTATTTTTTTTATTTCATCTTTGAGGTGGATTTTATTTGAAGGATGAGTACGAAACTGTATCTGTAGAACTATGTTTTAGAATTTATATGGAAATCTAAACTGGTCATTGTTTTGTAATTTTAAAAATCAGAGATTTTGGAGAACGAAGGGTTTGATGAACACTTTCGATTGGAAATTGAAGTAAATTTTGTTAGAACTCAACAACTATCTACAATATATAGTTGAAAAACTTATTTAACATAAAAATAACTACAACAACTCATCCCCATGCCAAGAATATTCCCCACTTTTTCGTTTCAAGAAAACTTCATCAATCGACACCCAACGCTTGCGTGCAAGTGTCTTGCGAGCAAAACGAAGCGTATCACCAACACTTCTAATCTTTTCAGCACTAGAAGAGGTCGTTTAATAAATAAAGCAACGGCTGTCGGAGGCTCAGCCCGGGAGGAGGTCCAGTTCGCTCGAGACGCGTCACCGAACCGGTCCCTGGTTGGCTCATTCTTAATTATATTCCGTAATTCATAATTATTATGCACCAGCCTTGCAGAGGACAAGCGGACGACGGCTGGTCCAGTGGTTCGGGCCGGATGCGAGGATATCTCTCGTTTTCACTTGGACAGATAGTCATCAATTCAAGCCTCGGATCAAGAAGATACGACGAGTGCAGTAATGCTGGTAGGATATATAGCAGGGACGGACATCGGGGCAGGTTCTTCAAGTAACGTGATGCATTGGAAGATAAAAAAATCAGGATATCGATACGAAATGTCGTTTTAATCGTCGGAAGATGATGCCAGGTAAGTCATGACTTATGTAATGGTGACTGAAATTTTTAAACTAAAAACTTTCGTCGTCCTGGTTTGTTTGTATCACAGTGTATCATAGCGATACCCGTCCCTGACATAGAGCCACAGCGATGGTGGTACGTTCAGCAAGAAGAGAGATCAGTAGAGAAACGTAGAGGAAGGTGGCTTTTGATGTGTCTGGCCTTCGGACACCGCATGGATCTCGCGTATCGGACGTGGACAGAAAGAGGTCGGCATAGATCTGACGCGATGAGCGCCGCTGTGCTATAATATTAATGATGACTGGCTTGCCCCCATAGAGGAGCCTATCTATTTCGTTCTGTCCAAGACTGTCTTGTTCCACCGGGGGGATGCAATTTCTCGATAAATTCTCCCGTGTTCCAACGGTTCGACGATTCGCCCGTCTCGCGGTCGTTAATATTAATAAGCTGCTTAATATTAATATTGATAAGTCTGTTAATAGCGATGGGTATCGGTGACGTGGATACCCGTCGGGTTAATGGCGGTTCGCGATTTTTTTCTAGCCAGAACAGGGGAACGGTAGTTGAGCGCATGCAGTTTCGTTATTGCTCCTGTTGCTTCCATATGAGATGCTAATTTGCAAATAGATTATTTGTAAGTTTCGAGGCTCTAGAATGAATTTATTTTATATTTTTCATTCAATTTACGCTGAGAATCAGGCTGGGGAATTTAATAACGATGGAAGCTTAGCAGACTTCGTGTTTGAAAATTTCTTTTTTCCACAGATTTTGATTGATACACCCCGAACAATTTAAACATCGGTAAGGTATGTCCTGGCAGATATCTGCAGCTTTAAAAGAGAAATATGTCTCTTTGGCGAGTTGGTAATGGAGCTCGTAGCCCGCTGGAATGTTGTTTAGTCACGAGTGGTAAATTTCCCAATAAATCTCTTCGCTCGGTTCGTTTGCGCATTAGTCACTAGCTCGTTCGACTCGTTTTTGTAACGCTGAAACATTTGCTGAAACTCAGGAGGAATAATGTCATCGGTTGTACAGCGAGGATCTCGGGTGCACGATTAATGAGAATTGGAGGAGCCACTCAGGAAATCCACTGGATTCCCTAACGAGTGCATAAATATTTAATGCGCTCCTGCATGCCACGGCGCTGCTAATGAAATTCTTCTGATTTATGAACAATTACTTGCCATCGTCTCGTGATTTCTTGCTCTAGATCCTTGTCCCTGTCAAAATCAACCCCGTTGCAACTTATAACAAACGCTTAACACGGGTATTAATTTCAGTATAATTGTGATTTTAATTGTCGTTATCTGAAAATCAATCGAACATCGCTTTTCGCAGATAAGCTGGAACCGTAGCAATGAAACGGATACCAGCGGAAACGAATAAATAAATACGTTAACGCGCGTGCATTAACGCGCCGCGATGCTCTCAAGCGTTTCATTCTTTTCCTCTGTGAAACCCATCAAGCAGAGGTCAGAAAAATGCTCGGAAATATAATTAATTGCCGGTTCCAGGCGAGCCAAAGGAAAAAATAGAAGACGATGGAATAGCCAAGATGGTTCCAGCGTCTTACGTGACCATTTCTAGGCAGCTGGAACCAGATATGCCCAGCCCACTGGCTTTTAGAAGTGTACCGCTAGTGAGTCACGTGGGAAGATAATTAGCGATCATCCGGAGGGACTAGAATTTCATGTAAAATGGCGTCAAACTTCTTAGAAGGATGTGAAATCCCTTTAGAAACCATAAAGACGCTTCTTCGACTGGGTGCCATTTTGTGTGCCTGCCTCACCAGCAGGCGACAGTTCAGTGGTCTGGTAAAGAATTAATCAGACGTCGGGAGACGATCAAAACGAAATTTCATAAGGAAAGAACGAGTGAACCAGAGGTCAAAATAGAAAAGGCGGAGATGTTCGTTGGTTCTCGTCGATCGTTTCACGATTTAGCAACGCGCAGAGAAGAAAGATAGTGAACTCGTAGGACGGCCGGCCAGCAAACCGTATCCTGCGGGGAAAAATGGCCGTGGCCCTGACCACCTGCTGCCACTTTGATACCGCCGCTAGAATCTCATTTAGCCGTGTAATTCCGACGTTCATTGACGATGGATCGTCCCGTCTTCGCGGCATTGTAGGTGTACTGAAACACTTCGTACCTTCTAATATATGATCGATCGAGAAGAGGCAGCGTAACATCGTGCTTGTACGGGAACAAGCCGTGTACGTCCGGCGAAAAAATAGATTCGGTTGCTTTCCTGCGTTCCTTTGGGAGAAACACTCGATAGCCCTTGTACGTTTCATGTTGCAAGTCAAACATTTAAGTAGCCATACATTTCAGTTTAAACTGAGTACTCGATACTTTAAAACCAAACGTATGAATTAGAAATGGATTCCTTCAGATTCTTTATTGCCATCCTTTTACAAATATTAAAAAATATGTCGCGATATCAGTTGACAGAATGCGACCACAGGTCTCGTCCAAAAAACTTAGAGAAAATGGTCGTCGCACCTGATTTCCATGGAAGACAATGATCCAAGTTCGGCGCTCGTTGACAATGAATAGCCGCTGATTGTTTGCGCCGCGTCACGGTTTTACCGTCGCGTTTAATTCAATTTGTGAGTGACTTACGATGCCCGTCATTAGTCATCGTGAGGCGTGCGCGCGCGTCCACGCAACTCGAAACCAACTTCTTCGGTATATTCCGCAAGCAAAGTATCCGACGGCCGAAGAGTCAGCGAACGGCGAAGAGATTTCGCACGTATCTCGTCGGTTCGTTGCGATTATCAGGCAAGAATGAGGCTCATCAGGTGAATCGACTCGAAATGGTACCGACGCAAAGCGATTAATACCCTGCCATTTCAGCAGGGCGAAGGCTAAGTCAGAGATCGTGTTTGCACGATGTATCCGTAAGAAAGATCGACCAGGAAATCCTGAAGACCAGGTGAAAAGTATCATGTGCTAGATTTCACTCTTCCTGAAAGAACATCGTCTATCGTATATTCAAAGGTTGCATCTGGGACCATTTCCTCTTAACATCATTATAAATGAAATAATATTATACACAGTGAATTTTTATCAATTGTGAATGAATTGAAAATATTTTTAAAAATGACCAGATATAAAGAATTTTACAGCTACAAATTCAATTGTACAAATAGTAAATTTACATTTATTTAATAAATAAATAAATAAATAAATAAATAAATTTTTATTAAGAAGCAAGCAAAGGAATGTCTACCAGGAAAGGATGCATAAATTGAAGCCGACTATTCTACACCGTTACAAACACGTAATTTACACTTATTCGTCCCGCCTTCTTTCGTCAACTCTGTTCATCCTCGAGTCGAAGGATGTTGAAGGCG